TTAAGCGGCTCACCATTCCGCGACTTGAGCTTACTGCAGCTCTCCTCCTAGCGCGATTAATAGCAAAAGTGGTAAAAGCTCTCGAGTTGTTCGAAGCACTGGTATTCTGTTGGTCAGATTCAGAGGCAACGATTAAGTGGATAACTGCTAACCCATCGCGCTGGAAGGATTTTGTTAGGAATCGCGTGTCTGCCATACAAGAACTTTTGCCCAATGGATCGTGGCGTTTCGTACCGGGCAAACAAAACCCCGCTGATCTTGCAACACGAGGCCTAAAAGCGGATAAACTGTTCCACCTTGACCTTTGGTGGAAGGGACCAACATGGTTATCCGAATCGCAAGCTTCTTGGCCTTACACGGAATACAGATCGACATCAGACATAGATATGGAGGAGCGTCCTGGTTATGTTATGATTGCTTTAGTAAGTCTGCCTCCATACTGGGAGCTATTACGCAAGTATTCCTCTCTTACTAGATTACCGCGTGTCACTGCTACGTGTCGCCGATTTGTAAACTGCTTGCGTAAAGTACCTCAGTCTTCTCCTTCTAATTATCCATTAACTCCAATTGAGATCCAGCAAAGCCGTGATTTATGGGTGCGAATTGTACAACAAACATGGTTCCACGAGGAGATACGACTCTTAGTTAAAGGAGAGCAGTTACCGAAGTCAAATTCCTTGAATCGACTCACTCCATTTATCGACCGGGACGGTCTGCTTCGAGTAGGTGGCCGTCTTCATTTTGCCCAGATTAATATGGAAGCCAAGCACCCGCTTATTCTACCTAGGAGGTCACCATTGACCACGCTCGTCATTGAAGATACTCACAGAAGATCACTTCACGGAGGCACCCAAGTGACTTTGAGCCTCCTGCGTGAGAATTTCTGGATAATTGGCGGAAGGGCGCCAATACGATCCCACATATTAAGATGCGGACGTTGTGTTCGGTACCGCGGCATTCGAGCAAAACAAATGATGGGCCAACTTCCCTCCGTAAGAGTGAACCCAGCGCGGCCCTTCTCCCATTCAGGCCTCGACTATGCCGGACCCGTGACGTTGAAGACGTGGAGAGGGCAGGCAGCAAAGTCCTACAAGGGCTACTTGGCTATATTCGTCTGTCTCGCAACATCTGCCGTACACATCGAAGTAGTTACGGATTATACTACAGAAGCGTTTATAGCTGCCTACAAACGCTTTAACGGTAGACGAGGTATATGCTCCATCTTGTGGAGTGACTGCGGTACAAATTTTATGGGAGCCAACGCTGAGTTGAAACGTCTATTTCAACAATCCTCTCACGAACTTGGTGACATCGCCTCCCTTCTGGCTAATGACGGTACCGAGTGGAGGTTCAACCCTCCATGTGCTCCTCATTTCGGTGGAAAATGGGAAGCGGCTGTGAAATCAGTTAAATTTCACCCTAAACGAGTCCTAGGGGAGAAAGTCCTTACCTATGAGGAGATGACTACTATCACTATACAGATTGAGGCCGTATTAAACTCTCGACCTCTTTG